AAATCGAATCCCCACAGCAACAGCTCTTATGACTCCACAAATGCTTAATAACATCTGGAGGGAAATCAAAAACAGACATCTGCGAGCAAATAATGGTACTCATGTTGAAGTTTATTAATATAAAATTCTTTGAAGTGCTAAATAAAATTCAATCAGTCATTTTTTTCCTGTTTCTTATTCTGTATTATTTTTAAAACATGTCTTTATCCGGTGAATAAATTATGGGCACCATCTAGTTTAGCTGCATATCGTGTGTATTCATTTAAATTAATTTTAAAATTTCTTTGAAAATTACACAGTAGGATACTACATTTCCCTCAAACCAAGGAGAAAAATTAAAACAAACTTAATTTAACTTACTCTACAACGCAGAACAAAGGATTCAAATAATTAGAGCTGCATTATCTGAAATGCGGATAATCGAATTTTTACTATACTCGTAATACTTACTTTTCTATACATCTCCCTAGCATTAATTTCTACAATCGCTCAGGTTCAAAAATTGCAACGAAGTGAAAATGAGTGTATTATTAACGGAGAAATGAAACTAAAATTTGAAATTATCTTTGTGTTTATACGCATGCATGAAAATAACACTAACAACGACCTTCAGAGCAATGCGGTGGAAAAGACTTGTATAATTACACTAGCATCGCAGATTTTGTTCCCAACAACAGAGCACTCAGCCATTAGGCATCCGTGCTGGAATGCAGGTCTAATCGCTATGGTATCTTATTGGGTCCGAGAACATCACCCAAAATATGTTACGTAGAATAATTAATTAAATGATACCAACCAAAAGGACAGACGCTGCATTATGAATTGAAGCGTGAGTTTAGATTGAGAGCTTAATCATTCCGCAAACTCTGCCATGACCAACGAGACTTATAGTTGTTATACGATATCATATTACAGTTTAATTCGATTTATAATATGCTTAGAGCAGACATGTCAGACTCAGTATCGCAAGAGGTCCAAATAATTATTAGTTCTAGGCCGCAAGAAAGAGAAAGGTATTTTCATAAATGTACAAAATCTTACCTAATACTGTAGTTCTTATTTGTAGTAGATGATAAATACGTGTTGATGTCAAGTGGCGTCTTTTTCCTGAAACTAATTTTTGAATATCTGGAGACATGCTGCTTGCACCAGCGATTTTCAAACAGAGGTGAGATAAACGTCTGTAAATCTGGATCTTACTGAATACTTGTTTGTTCCATAAGTAAGAAAAGTTGATTCCACTATTACCTATAAAGTATTTCTCCCGCCTTATTAGCATGCCGTCGTTATGTAATAGCCAGCACACTCGGCGCGTATTCCAGAGTTCCGAGGTTCGGGTCCTGGCGAGGGCATTGCTCATTTTTTCATTTCTCCTGCTTCAAAATAACCTATTGTCTCTACAGTGGCGCCTGAACTAAAAACGTTCGAGGGTGATGATTCTCCATTACCAAGATTTGACGATTCAGTCCCCTAATTTCGGTCGTTTATTTATTAAACATCCCTTTCTTTTCACTTAAGCTACATAAAAGTCAGCAACAAAATCGGGAAATTTTTTCAAATCAGCATATGTTTAAAATTTCCAATAGAGTATTACGTATTGCTATACACTTTCTTTATACTCGATATACTATTTTTATTTATTATAATATTTCTTTAAAAATAATACATAGCCATAGAATTCGAATATATCTTTTGCTTATCTTTTTAAAAAGAGTTTTTTAATTTTAATTTAGAACGATTTTTTCGTTTCCGATTTACTGAATCAAACAATACAGATTCAGTATTGACTGAAGTTGAAGATTATTTGCAATGAAATTTGCCGTGTCTTTACTAATTTTTCGCATTTTATATTCTCTATGTTTTTCTCCGCATTTCATTTCGAAATTTGTTCTTGTTAAGTTTATCATAAGTAATTATACCACTTTTTAGGATATTACGAAGTATGCAAATGAACGTTTTTAAATATTTTCCAAGTTAATTGTTCCATAACTTTTCTTAAAAAACAGAACGGTAAAGCAAATATACTCTTTTAGGAAATGTCCCGACATTTTATTAAATTATACAATTATTGAATCATGCAAAATATTGACACGTGAGTACGTATTCGTAATGGACTGAATGGTGGTTGTTGTTAATGGCTCGTAGAGCCCATGACAGACCTATAAAATTTACTTTAAAAAAGAAACAGTTTACAGCTTTAGAAACATTAGGTTATTTTGATGCGGTAGACGTGAAAAATGAGCAATGCCCTAGCCGGGACTCGAACCCTTGAGCTCTCGAATACATGCCGAGTTTGCTCACCACTACACCACGAAGGCATGCTAAGAAGTTGCATTTTAAAGGGCCTTTTAAAGGGCGACTGGGGATTAAGGGACTCAGTCGCCAAATCCTGGTGGTGGAGAATCATCTTCTATCACATTTTTTAGTTCGGGTGCCACTGTATAGACATTAGGTCATTTCTAAGCGCTTTCATGTTACATTATAGAAGAGATACTATATAGTTTTGCATATAATGTCAGTAAAATTGTTCATATAAATTTATGTTACTGTAATTATATATATATATAATGTTACTGTAATTATATATATATATAAATTTATATGAACAATTTTACTGACATATATGCAAAACTATATATAGTATCTCTTCTATAACGTAACATGAAAGCGCTTTAGAAATAACCTAATGTCTATACAGTGGCACCCGAACTAAACTATAATTTTACTGTAATTATATATATATATATATGTAATAAAAACAAAATCAGAAGTGAGACCAGCATGAATTCTGATGGCGTTGAAGTATTGATTCATAATGAATAGGAAATATAAGGCGAAGGCAGACTAAATCTTCATTTTCTTGTTTCAGCAACTTGTTGCGACCACAGTCAAGTTGGCACGTTAATTGTGCCTATTCCAAAAATTATACATTTAGATAAATTTGCAGTAAGAAAGAAGGAGATCACAGACTGTAGTCAAGCTAGGCGAAAGCGTAGAAAGCAAGTGCATTATATTCAGCGTGAAATCCTAATTCAGACTGAGTTAGTTTTGGTTCTCAGTGCATTTTGATTGGGTATGTTGTTGCTGTAAAATTATTATTGACTGCTTAAATTTTAGTTCAATTTACATCACCAGAATTATGTAACAGTCATATGACATGGATTAATCTAGAAATGACGCAGTGCAGAGAGAGAGATTACTATTAATATTTTTAGAATTGAGAATGGAAATTTATGTTGCTAAAATAATCTTTTACATAGTCTTTATTTTTCTTATATAATTACTAAAAGAAAAGGAAATAGTTGGAGTTTAAATACAAGTTTACAATATTCTTTCCTATGAAGGTCCTCGAAGAAAGTCGTACCCAAAAATAGTGGAAGTAAAATTTACAAATACTGAAACAATATATATATAATATATATATATATATATATGCATGCAAAATTCTGAATAATATTCAGTTACACTGGTCGTTGAAATTAAATGATAATGAGAAGAAATCTGCTAACTAAATCGATGTTGAAACCAATGTCCAATGCTGTAATTATTTACGTTAATGAAATAGAACTGAACATGAAATTGCACTTCTTCGCGTATATTAGGGTTGGAAATATGCTAATTCAGCCTTTGACAATGTGGTGAGCACTGGACTTAAGTTGAAATTCCCGGTCTGTTGTATTAAATGATGTGATTTCTGACAGTGATCAGTGTTCATTAGTTATGGCTCAAGGGCATCAGTTAAGAGAAGGTCAAAAGTGGTGACTAATTGGTAGAATAGAAGGAGGTCAAACACAAATGGAGGTCGCTAAAGATTTGAATATCCCTCAAAGTGTTATATCAAGTGTTTAGAGCCGCTTTTTGAGCATTGGCTCGGTTGACAGATAGCCTGGTCATGAAGACCAAGAGCAACAAAACCGGTGCCGTTGGTCATTTTCAGTGGAGAAAGAGCAACTGGGCTCGAGTATTATTTACTGACGAGTCCAGAAGTCCAGATATAGTCTGACCAGTGATTCTAGACATGTTTTGATCTGGAGAGAAGAAGGAATACATAACGTGTCCGTGAAATATCCCGTTTCCTCGACCGTGGTTTAATGGTTTGGGCAGAAATCATGACAAATTCTATCACCGAGGCACATATCTTTTAAGAAGGTTCTATAACCACTCGGAGATTTGTGGACGAGGTATTGTAACACCAAGTTAGACTGTTTAGGTGTACTGTAGGCTCAGAATTTGTGCTAATGAATGAAAATACTCGGCTTCATTGAACTTATAACTGTGTCAGAATACTTGCAAACAGTATTATGATAACACTTTAATGGACTGACTACCTTACTCACCCGACTTGAACCCCACTGAGCATGTGTGGGATGCTCTAGGGCGCCGAATATCAGAGCTCCAATTCCCCCCGGACCCTCCAATAGTTGAAAAATGCATTTTTTGAAGTATGGCGTGCAATTTTACAAGACTTGATCAACACTTGGGTAAAGTTTATGAAATCAAGGTGTAAAGTATGCTTATCCGTCCGAGGTGACCATTATGTACCTTATTAAAAACGTTTCTTTCCACAAGAGGTAACTTAATTTTTTTCATCATTTTCCAGTTTCCATGAATTTGGTTTTAGTTTTAATATTTTGCGAATCAACGACTGCCGAACATTGTAATTTATATTAGCTAATGCTTTTGCATAAATTTCTATTCATATTTATTATTTAGTTACGTTTTATTTCTGTCAATATTCTTTAACAGTATTATTATTACTATTTATTTTATTAAAAATATACTACCATTGAAATATGCAAAATATTACATCTATCGAAGTTTAGAAGCTTCGTGCATTTTTAAACACATTCATATTTCAAAAACTTTTTTCTGACAGTTGCTAGTATTGAAGAATTCAGCTAGAAAACATTTCTCTTTTACTGGAGGAAAACATAATCCTAGTTTCGACAAAGAGGAGCTTCAAAAAGCAGTATTGCAAGAAAAATGTGGAATCTACTTACGTGGATATCTTTTCCTTAGAATACAGACAGAAAGCTCTAAAACTAAATCATTTCACCTCTGGCCTTATATCTGAAAGGGAAAAGGGAAAAGTTTTTGAATCATAATATTCGAAAATGGCATACTGAAGACAAATGAAAAATTTGATAATGACAATCGTAAATATTTTAGGAAGAAACTTCGAAAGGTTCTTTAACGAATGATTTGAATGATACGAATTTAATTTTTTAATGATACGAATTTAAAGAATGATTTGATAATTGATTCGTATTCTTAGTGAATAAAAAATACACTAAACGACAATTCACAGTGGTATATAGTAGAGCTGAACTACAAACAACAATTCCAAATGAGCAGCAGCATAGGAACGCGTAGGGAGATGAAGTCAATCGGGCATCATGCACATGGAAACAATACACGTGACTATTGGAGCTGTTGTTAATTACCAGTCTCAATTTTCTGGTATTAGTAAGCACAAGCCCAAGACATGCATCGTGGGAAGAGCCTTGAGCACCATATAAGGTGACAGCTCGAATTTAGCTCTGCTCCGCCTCCAAATTTGAGAGAGAGCGCCCAGAGGAGGGATGGATCCGAGGGTCTCCCACACTTCTTTCTCCTCCAATAACCTCTCGAGAGGGCTTTCGGATCACCGCATATTTAGAGTACCTTCATTTTGCAGAGGCATTATACATTTACAAACATTCTTGCCTTATCCGGGATTCAAACCTGGGCTCCTCGGTATGGCGGTCAGAATCGTTAACCAGTATCCCGTTTGGGGGAGGGGCTAAGTTATTGGAGCTAAACTTTTCAAACAGAATTTCCTATAAACATTTTTATTGAACGGAATTAATATTATGTCAGTAACAAAATCACTCAAAGGTATTATTTTTTACTTAAATATGTGAGGTTTTTACTTTAACCCAATCGATTTTTTACTTCCTTGTACTAAGTAAAGTAATTATTGTTATAGCAAAAAAGTTTGGTTATCAGATTTTAACCTTACTTAATATTCATTTCGACCGTTCCCGAATCATTTTAATTATTTCTCGCGTGAAGTTTGTATGAATGGATAGAATACACCACTTTTCTACAAAACGGATTCTAAAATGATTTAAAAAGTATTTTTTTAAAGAAGTAATTTTTAAAAAGTATCTATGTACTCACATACCCCTTACTTGGCTTAAAAGTCCTTACCCGGCCTTTATTTTCGCAGTCGTTGGTTGTAGTCATACACTTCCAGGTACAGAAGTGATTTAAATGACGAAAATATTCATGTTTTGACGATGGCAAATTAAAAAAATTATATTTGGACCAATAGCAAAATCTAAATTTTGATGCGGTCTCCCAGAGCCTATGTTTATATTTGAGAAAGAGTTATACACCTTATGAAAAACAAATTTTAAAAAATACAAGACTCCCGTGAAACAAAAATTAACCGGGATATTTAACTTCAAAAGTTTGAATTTTTTATGTCAATTTCGACTTCAGGGATCGATTAATTAATTTAGAATAATTTGAAGGTATAGGTGTAAATGAAGTGCAGTGAAAAATGTGCATTATTTAATAGCCCTCCCAAAGAAGTCATTTGGACGTAAGATTTTTTTATTTACGTTACCTTTTTCATTTTCGCTTCTATCGTTTTTAGATCAGCCTATTTTAAAGGTGTAGAGGTGTAGAGACATTAGAATATTTCGAAGCAGAAGAGATGAAAAATGAGCAATACTCTCGCCGGGATTCGAACCACGGGCCTCTCACCGTGAAGGTTAGTGAATTTCTCCCGCTAAGAAAGCGAGAGAAATACCTTGTAAAGGAAGCAGAGGAGATCTGAAAATATCAGGAGTCGAAGTAGACTGAGAAGGATCTCTCTTTCAAGACATTAGTTGTCGTTTCTTTATTACTATGCGTTAATATTCAGCTTAAGAGTGAATTTCAGACCTGTAAGAGTAAACCTGAAGCTGTAAATAGGTTAAACTGTAGCACCATTTACAACAAAATTTAGTTCAAATCTCAGCAATTTAGTTTAACTGAAATCTGAGTGTATTAGAATTGAATGCTTGATTTTCTGTTATTTAAGTTGTGTGTACCATTCTGGCGCCTGAAAATGGGGAAGGATCATCAAAGTGTAGTTAAATTTCCTTTTGTCTTAAAGCTTGAAATTACAATGAATATCTTTAATTAGTTCATTGACATTAGATTTCTACATTAAAAACGAGTTAAATTCTGAATAATCTGCATATCTTCAACGACAGAAAATTATGCGCAATCAGGTAGTAAGATACAGAAGAGATAAGAGAAAAACCTGCATATGTACTACAGTGTACTCTTAATTATTCTGGTGCAGATTATCCGTGCGTGGCATTCTCAAGCCTTCACATTTAATGCTAGGCATGACAGTGCCTAAAAACCAAAACACGCTCAAGTCTGAGCCTGCTCTAAAAACCGCTCAGTTGCGTCTTTAATTTTAACGATTACCCAATACAATTCAAAATTCTACAAAAAGAAAAGAATTATTGAGATTTCTCAAGAAACGCTGACTGTATTGGATGCCATATGGGGAGTAGCAAAAGATTAATCGAAAGTAAAACCAACACTGGTACGATCGCGACGAAAGATTCTTCCTAATATAGGAATCTCAGATTTATCCAGTTGTGCAGAAGTCGAGGTAGTAACTGAAGCTGTAGGGCAAAAAAAAAAATCGAAAATGTAAAATTTTTCGTAACTGTCGATCGGTCAAACATCGAGGAATCGTTAGACAGCAATTCGAGTGAGCCGAGCTTTCAACTGCTCGAGTGATGTCGATATCGTTTCAAATGTGACAAGAGCAGAAGAGGCTGAGAGTGACACTGAAAATACAAGCGTTACAGTACTGACAATTACAATCAGTTCCGAGTGCGATCGACTTCGTCACATGCTTTCTGGTTTGGTTATCTTTGATTACACGGAACTATTGCTGTTTGCGAAATGGCGCATAGGTCCGGTATGCAACTTTTTAAGTACTGCGGGATTGCGTTTTATGCTAATTATGGTTGCCTATTTGCATTCGGCGACGCAACCTCTGCCTCATACTTAAATTATACGTTTTAATTCCTCTTTTCCCATTTGTACCTTTTCTTTCAGCTTTTTTTTAAGACGCGATGTAATTTGACACTTCATTTTAGTATTGATTTTACCTTTACATATTAGAAATAACTTTATTTATTTCCCTATTTCATAATATTAATGAATTATATATATTACAATTCAATTAACTTCTCACTGAAAGATTCATTTTCAAGATTATAAAATTATAGCGAAATTATTTATTTATGTTTATACACTGCTTGAAAAGGCACGTCAAATGATTTTACGAAAACTGCATTAAACTCCATTACGAAAACTACTTAAAATTCCACAGTAAATCTAAAACGCTGAAATATTTCCGCATCTGTTTCATTGTTAATGTAGAATATAGCCAATTAATTGATAATCACTGTTAAATCTTTAAATAACTTAAGTGAATAAGGAAAAAAATGATGAAACATTTATACGAAACAAACAGAATTAATCTGTAACCTTATTCAAAAAAGAACAGCCATAGAAATGATTGAGATAGAATGGATTGAATTGAGATGGAAGAACTCGCCAGCTGAACATCATCTAACCCTTTCATCGATTTTTGCATTATATGCTTCTATACTAATGACCACAAAATGATAACTTTTTCTGTCATCGCATAACAATTTCTAGAAAATGGAAACGCAATTTCGTAGTTACGTAACAAAATACCGATGCAATAAATACATCACATCTTCATCGCTTAGAGAAGTTTTCCTGATACGGACTGCAAAATATTCTAGGATTGCTTTGAAAATTAAGGTAAACAGAATGCTACCCTAATTTAGAACTGTTTTCTTTTCTCCAAAAGCATTTGATTCTATCCAGTTTACATTTAAGTAGCTAATCTATGCATTTAATGAATTTCAGTTTTAATATCCTAATTTGGCAAAAACACTAAGAATTGCATATTGAACTGCAATATGTATTTTATAACTTCTAGATAACTTCTATTAGCAACACAAACCATAAACTGCATTATTCTATGCTTTATAATATGATCCGTTTAAAACTGAATATAATATTTGATAGACAATTAGATACTCGCCGCAATATATTTATATCTATTAAGGCTTTTAATGCATAAGGCGCAGATTCGTTTAATCAAATTATGTTCTGAATTTTCAGAAAGGCGTTTTCTTAGATGTAAATTAGTAGCTTATAATCTGCTGCCTAAGAAAAGTAATGGTTTATACATAACAGATTAATTTTAATATTTCCGTTATGTTACGTCAATAGACGTCTGCGAGGAATAAAGCCCAAATGATAGTTGTTTATTTTGAGTCATTTCTTGCATTTATGTAAGAATGGTCATTTAGGTTTGATTTATTTGTACTACCTAAGTCCTTTTAAAATTTACGTAACATCCATATACCGTATATACTATGCCATAAACCCACCACACAAAGTTACTTTAAAGTTTTCACTTTCATTTGCATACTTTTTTACCCACTTTAAGGCAAGTTAAATGTACGCTTTTTCTTGTTGATATTAACTCATCTTGGGGATTTTCTAGGATCCAGTTCGTAACACTTTCTTCGGAGATAGCCCATTTCGTTCCTCTTTTCCGCAAAGCATATTTATTCTTTGATATATTAATTATTATGATTTCATTTTTCTTTCATTCACGTATGGAGATTTCACCAAGATCAAAAATCCTTGCTGTAACATGATTTACATTTTCTTCCGCATGTTGTTGTTTGACAGGAGCCATATTTACTACTAAAAGCAAGACTAGATCAACTGCATTTCAACTAAAGTAAATGCGATAAAGCTTTCAATGTTCTTTTCAAAATAATGGCATGTGTGCAAAAAGATAAAACATTTCCGCTAATTCCACTAGCCAATTCAGGTCGGAAGAGCATTCTTACCCCAAATTATGTCCCCCTTTCTCGAAATTCTATAATAACATTCTTGTGCACACATGCATCGAATACGACCCATCCACTTTCCAAAATTATTTACTCCTTCACGCATTGGCG